GACATGTCACCCATTGAGCATGTTAGGGATGCTCTGGATCGGCATATACGACAGCGTGTTCCGGTTCCTGCCAATATCCAGCAACTTCACACAGCCATTGAAGAGGAGTGGACCAACATTCCACAGGCCACAATCAACAAACTAATCAACTCTATGCGAAGGAGATGTATTGCACTGCGTGAGGCAAATGGTGGTCACACCAGATACTGACTGGTTTTCTGACCCCTCTGAACATTTCAGAGTGGCCTTTTATTGTGGCCAGCCTAAGGCACACCTGTGCAATAATCATGCTGTCTAATCAGCATCTTGATATGCCACACCTGTGAGGTGGGATGGATTATCTCGGCAAAGGAGAAGTGCGACCCAGATGAGATGAGACCCAGATGAGGACAATGAGCATGCAGATGAGCTTCCCTGAGACGGTTTCTGACAGTTTGTGCAGAAATTCTTTGGTTATGCAAACCGATTGTTGCAGCAGCTGTCCGGGTGGCTGGTCTCAGACGATCTTGGAGGTGAACATGCTGGATGTGGAGGTCCTGGGCTGGTGTGGTTACACGTGGTCTGCGGTTGTGAGGTCTGTTGGATGTACTGCCAAATTGTCTGAAACGCCTTTGGAGACGGCTTATGGTAGAGAAATAAACATTCAATTCACGGGCAACAGCACTGGTGGACATTCCTGCAGTCAGCATGCCAATTGCACGCTCCCTCAAAGCTTACGACATCTGTGGCATTGTGCTGTGTGATAAAACTGAACATTTCAGAGTGGCCTTTTATTGTGGCCAGCCTAAGGCACACCTGTGCAATTATCATGTTGTCTAATCAGCATCTTGATATGCCACACCTTTGAGGTGGGATGGATTATCTCGGCAAAGGAGAAGTGCTCACTAACACAGATTTAGACAGATTTGTGAACAGTATTTGAGGGGAAATGGTCTTTTATGTATGTAGAAAAAGTTTCAGATCTTTGAGTTCAGCCCAAAAAAAATGGGAGCAAAAACAAAAGTGTTTTTGCCAGAAAGCTTGGTAATAATCAGATTGTCCACATGAAGGCGCCAAACAGCGTTTTATCTTACACTGGAAGTGTGCCAGAGGAGTTTCTACTTACAGCATTGGACACTTGACTTCTATCTGCAATGTCAATGGGCACAACAGTTACATTCTGCCACGTGGAACTGTCTAGTTTGTGCACCTGAACAACCAAACAAAAAGCATTAGTAAGACAAGTGTACAAACTTAAATCTGATGTTCATACTTGATACTTGCTTGATAAGATGCAGAAGTACTCACATTTTCTTGTGTTCCAAGGTCTGGTTTGTGCCATGTCTCAATCTTAATGCAGAAATCATCTTTCATATACTCATTCTAGAGGAAAGAGTCAGGGTATGATAAGATTTTACAGAACTGAGTACACAGAAAAAATGCAGAAGCTCTATATACTGAAAGAATCTTTTGAAAATTTTAAGGGACGGTTCACCTCAAAATCAAAAATACATCTTTTTCCTCTTACCTGTGGTACCATTTATCAATCCAGATTGTTTTGGTGTGAGCCGCCGAGCATTATGCTGCATCTCAAATCAGATACTTCTGTACTTGTACTCACCATTTTGAGTGCATAATTGTGTTCACACTGAGAAGCATGACAAAAAGCAGTGCACCATGAGTACCCAACAGGTACTTTCATAATGGGCAAAACGTCAAGTGTGGAACGTTGGACATTTCTCACTCTCAGTGGTCGCCATGTTGCCTACCGAGCAGACAGGACAAGACCACATACACATTTCAAAATTGTAAAGTGTCAGCTGACTACCACGGTGAACACCAAAGCATTGTACAGATATACATGTGCAGTTTTTTATTGGTTTTAAGCCATCAGTTTGTTTATTGGGTTAATTCTTGATAAGTTGGAACTGCAAACAATAACACAAATGCTAACTTTAAGAGGGGCACATTTTATCATCTGGCACTGAAGTTATGCGAGTTGTGGCATAAGCTATTCTATCTAAGGACATAGTTACATTTGGTGTTTATGCATGGGGTGAAGTGTCAGATGTTGTAATGCCCTCTGAGGCACATTGCGATTTTTAATATTGGGCTATATAAATAAAATTGAATTTAACGTCTGTGTACTAACAGAAGCATCCAATTTGAAACACAGCATTGGAGATATTGGCTTTGAAGATGTCTCCCTTCTCTCATATGTAATGGAAATAGATGGCACTCGGCTTGTGGTGCTCAAAGCGCCCCCAAAAAAGGTGAGCTAGGTGGTGCTAGGTGAACTAGCAGTAGATGCATGCTTCCGTCTATGCGATGTCGGTTAGCAGGTGTAGTTTGGTAGAAAGGAAATACCTCCTACATGAAAGTGCTCACAACATGATCTGTGGATTATCTTGTGTAACTGGATCGGGATTTCGAGAAAGGGACATTGCTTCTGAGTTTTTCAACTGTATTTTATTGGCGCTTTGAGAACCACAAACCTGTGGTGTCATCTAGTTCCATTATATTTGAGAGAAGGCAGACATCTCTGAACCTCTCAAACACTCGGCAACTCACACCAAAAGAAACTAGACTGATAAATTGCACTACAGATAAGAGGAAAAGTATGTATTTTTGATTTTGGGGTTCACTGTCCCTTTAAGAATTACAACAAGACAAAAGCCATTTAAGGATACCTACCGTCACAACTGGATCAAGGATAGGCATGAGGAGAAAAGGGAGGGGGAAACCAGTTACATATAAAAATAAAACAAATGTTATAAATTCACATCAACAGAAAACACATGGCTATGATACCAGTAACACAAGTGTATTTAACAATGATCAGGACTAAGGGTTTCAGGGTAAAGCAAAGGTAAACTGATATGGGGAGGGGAACTCACTGGTTCTGCAGTAGGGGTAGGCATTCCAGGCTTTTTCATGGAAAATCAGAGAGCCTTCAGGGGCTATCATCTTGACAAATGCTGGGACTTTACTGTAGGGTGGGTAAAGAGGATGGGAACAGGTTGATGTACGTGGAGAAAGGGAGAGGGCAGACACATTGCCTCAGTTACCAAAGATTCTAGAGGAAATATTGTGCAGGTGGAAACCAGAACAACTTCAAATGCCTCACAACTAAAGATAAGACAACACTGCCACTGCCTGGCAGCACGGAGCTATTACACTGTAGGAAGGAAATTATGGGATCAAATAGTCTGATTGAGAGGGGTAAAAAAAAAAAAAAGACAAAGAAAAGACACATACCTCTTTAGGTGATAGATTTTGTGTGTATATTGTCCTTTCTCGCCTTCATTTTCATAGGGCTCATTCTTGAGTACCTCAATGCCCTCGCCACCACCCGTCTCATTTTTACTTGCTTCGGCCACTGAGAACAGCTGTCCCACTTGATACTGTAACACGAAAAAACAAAACCTTAACACAAACCACATCAGTCACCTACAGTACATCCAGAAATAGACAGCTATAAATAGTAATGCATTTTAGCAAATTTAAGTATTTTTTAATACAAGCTGCATGTGAATCCTGAACCTGAATTACTGGTCATATAGTCTGAGTGGGCAGAAGTTCGCTGCATAGATCAGCCTCTCATTGGGCGGAACGAGCCACCTGCTGAAGTCCCGCCCTACCACCTCCGGTTGTGCAGCAGTTTTCAACCGTTTTCAACACGTCCTTTACTAACTTTTGTGGTGTTTGATCTTGCGGGGATGTAGCCATTTTTCTGCCATGGTTCGCATCCTGTAGGTGATATTTTTGTGGGCGTGTTACACCAAAACCTGCTTCCCCCGGCAATATTTTTGCAAGCGCACCGTTGCTGTGGCACCGCCCAGAACGACTGTGATTGGTTGAAAGAAATACAAGCAGCCGGGGCATTTTTTCCTCCAATCTCAAAGTGAGAGTCGGCTCAGCCAGACCTTTCTTTTCTTGAGAAAGGTCTGGTGAGCGAGACTACTGGTCATATTATGATGTTAGATGGACATGTATTCTCTTTGCATTACATCTATATTTTTCAGTGTTTAAGGCCAGTGGTTCCCAACCTCTCTTTACCTATACACCCCTTAAAAAGAAGCAATATCTACCTCATCACTGACTATTACTAAGTACATGAAACGAGCAGTTCAGAAAAAAAAGTTTCCTTTTCAGCCTGTTTCGTTAGGATTTTTAAGCAGCATTGTACGATAAAAAATGCTGAAATGATAGAAAAGAAAGAAATGTAATTTTGTGCTGCAGAAATATTTTTCTTTCTTTTTCTTTTAAATATCTTGTGACCCCTCCCTCCCCAAGATTTATTGTGGCCCCTTATAGGTTCCCAAAGCCCAGGTAAAGAACCACTAGGTTAGGTTACAGCCCTGAGTCGTACGTTTATGTTGCGATTGTAGAGGCACAGCACATGCATGACTTAATTTGTGTTTTAAAACCGAACATTTAATCTAGTAATAACTTAGTAATATGTGTCATTGTCATGCTGTCCTGCCAACGGATTGCAGATTTACACAACATGCCAAGAAAAACTGCTGCAGAACTCAATAGTTAAACAAGTTTGTGTCTGACCTGTGGTGTGAGAGCAAGGGTCTTTTTTCCCCAATTATACTGATGTCTTTCCAAATCAAATTCAACGAAGAGCAGCCATAATCTGGACAGTGTATTTGCATTTCATTTCTAACCCCACAATCTGCAGGCCAAGTTAACAGGTGTTGCATGTTGTGATGAACAATGGACGACAAAACAGAAGGGTGGATGTTTGCTTGTATTTCAGCTACCAGAGCTCTAAACAGTGCTTCTCCCAATCTCCCCTAAAGAGAGCACTTATTCTTCAATTATTTGGACTTAGCTTTAAAATGCAGCACTAATTGCCAAGAGATTCTATCACCATATAAGGCAGCAGGGTGAGAGTCTGTGTGATTCATGACATAAACCTTTATAAACACAGGGAGCAAATCCTGCTCTACATAAGAATTACAAATGATCCCTTTTTGGATGAGACTGTGTTGCCTTAACTTGCAACCAGAAGCCAAACAATGGAAATGATAAGACAGTAGTGCATTATTTATGCACAGCCTTTAATCTTTGTGAGGATAACGTAATTATGTAGAAGAATGGTGCATTACAGAGACCTCTTGTAATTCCTATTAACCACCATTCAGTGAAACGCTTTGAGACAAAATAAAGCATCAGGTTCTACTGCATGTGACAGTGAGACTGACAGGAAACTTAAGCTGAGGTGCAAGTGTTAATTTATTCACATAGACTTCTTCAATTAAAGCTGTAAATGGTAACTGTCTTAAAAAAAACCTTTGTCAAATTTGCTAAAACTGTCACTAAAGACCACAGTCAGAGGATAAGGCACAGGTAAATTTATTCAAACAGAATAAACAGTTGGTCGGTCCACAAAAGTTACACAGTAACAGTAGCCTATGATAACAAATAAGTAAATATAAACAAAGGACATTGGAAAAATAAAGTGCAAAAATCACACAATCTCATAAAATAATAATGTCCACTCCCTTTGCGCTGTCTTTATAATAATGCCGTTGCGGACGTCGCAAAAAAAGACTTAAGCTGTTATAGCTGTTCTAAAAGCCTCTTGTAGGCTTATTGCTTGAATAAATAAATACAAATAATAATAAATATAGGCTAAACGAAGAACAATGGAAAAATAAAGTGCAAAAATCACATAAAATAATATAGTCCCTTTGCGCTGTCTTTATCTCAAAAACACAGTGTTTTACATGTTTTTGGAGAGGAAAACGAGCATGTTAACCTTATCTGGCTTAAGCAAAGTGTGCATATGGTTAACAATGTTACCAGCCGTGCTAAACACCCTCTCTGATGGCGTGCTTGTTGCCGGTATGCACAGATATTTCCGTGCCATGTTGGACATGAGTGGGCTCGCAAAGCACGCTGCATTTTTTTGCTGCATTCATGTGGTGTTGGGAGATCCGAGTTGCCGAGTTGTTTTTCTGACATGAGGTGGCATTCATGTGAATTATCCCATTCTGAAAGTCATTTTTCGATTCTTTTCAACATCACATGAATGCAACACCCCCCCTCTTTTTTTTTTTCTCTGCCACACACACAACTGCCGAATATATCGGCAACCGCCGGTTGATGGGCTGACGGTGGCCGGTTGGAAATTTTTAACATATCGCCCAACCCTACGCTATATCCACACAGTAATACATGAGACAGATAATCTGTTAGTCCTCATAGTGCTTCTAATAGCATTTGTAGAATCCACAGAGGACTCTCCAACACAGCTGTCAATTATGTCAATCACTGCTCTGGAACTCCAGTCAAACTGTCAAACTAGGTAGCGCTGATCAAATCAAAATTCCGTCACAGCATTGCCTTTTTCTCACCTCAAATGTTTTCAGAAACACTGTTAAGTGTACTGTTGAGCTATAAATTAAGAAAGTTTGCAAAGCAGCCACTGGCCACTACATTGAAAGCAGTTGAGCCAAAACAAAGCACCGCCCACCACCTGGAGCAAACTTTCAAATTTCACAGCGTAACAGTACACTAAAATATGTTTCTGGAAACATTTGAGGTGAGAAATAGGCAATGCAGTAACAGAATCTTCTTTCATATTCGATCAGTGCTGTTTAGTTTGGAAGTTTTTTTCTCCTACCCAAAATGCACTGTGCTCTACATCACTTTCTCTCTTTAGTTTTCTTCCTGGATAGTACGTTTGCATTTCCCACTATCAGCGAACCGCACCAGGGTTCACTTGCAAGTGAACTAAGACCCCCAGTTTTCAAGCGGACCAGGGTACTCTCATTTGGTCTGCACCAGAGTTCGAATAAGTGTTCACACCACTCCAAACGAACCGAACTATCCGTGGAAGCGGATTGTTAGACCAAATAGTGCGTGTGAATGCGTCCTTTGAGATTCTTTGGCTCTGATTGGTTGTTTTTGTTCAGCCGCGGTGGATTCTAGCAAACGCAATCAGAAGCACTATGAGGAGGAGGAGGAACAAGTTTTTTTGTGTCTTTCTTTAACTGACTATCTGACTCATTCACTACTGTGTGTGGATGTAGTGACAGTTTCAGCAAATTTGACAAAAAGTTGAGTTACTGATTGTAACCTTAAAAGTGAAAGTCGATCAGTTTTGTGGCTTCCAAAATAATGTAGGAGAGCAAAAAGGCTAGTATTTCCAATCCTCTGCACTGACTGGCATTGATTGCTCCAGTTACTTTACTTGAGCTAAATTTGTTGTCATTTATAATGAGGAAAGACATATGTTAAAAGAACAAGACATTAGGTGGAACCCAGAAGTTCTAAAATGAAAATAGAAGTTATTTACAACATGACTCATTTTGTCAATGTAATAGTAAGGGAGACTACTTACCTCCTCAACACTACAGGGTAAAACCACACGGCTGCAAAAGAAAGAGAAGTGTGGTAACATTCACACAACACTTGTTTCTCAAAAACACTGCTCAACAAGCACTTCTGCCAGAAGCACAACAATTTTCCTTTAAAGTGAACTACAAGTGTAATACTACCTCCAAAAATAACATCACACTCAAGGACGGAGCAGAAAAACATGTTTCAGTTCAATGTACTTAGTTTGAACCATGGTGCAAAATGAAGAAAACACTAACACATTATAAAAAAATTAACCATTACAGAGAAAGCTGTAATGCCATGGCATTGGCCAGGAATTAGTAATAACCTCAACAGTACACAGAAACCTTCTCACTGCTTAAGAACAGGAAGCCAGTTGTGGTCTCTTCCTGAGGTAAAAACTGAGGTAAAACCCAAGTGTGACACACTGCTGACTTCAGCACTATGAGAGGAACCTATCACTCAAGTAAAATAGTTAGTGCATAGTAAAGCTGAGACTGAATATGGTCAAGAGTGTTAGTCAAAGAGGCGCAAAGTAAAATGTAAGTACCAAGCCATTTTGAACACATTGCTTAAAAACAACAAATGTGCTACAAAGACCAGTAACGGTAGGTACTGCTGTTTCAAAAAGAAAAGAAAAATGGTATCTGCATGTTTACTTGACAAGATATTCAAACATTACACACCATATTTACCGTTTGCATGGTTAACATACACCGCAACTTTCATCTTCGTGTCTCAACAGATCTCTGCTTCAGGGTGTGGCATGCCCGAACCAATTGCATCATTTACTCTGATGAACATGAAGCTTCAGTCCATGACCACTAACCACACAGTGCAACAGTAAAAGAGAGAGCAGGCAGAGGAAGTTCTCTTAAAGTATAAATCTGAAGCAAGGCTGTATCCCATGCTGACATATCTCTGGCTGCACTTTTTCTACTCTTCTGCTCTTTTTATGATATTGACAATGAGCTGTGGGAACCTGTGACAATGACATTTTACATTTTGTCCAGAATTAACACTACTCTATTAACTTGTGTTCAAGTTAGGTTAATCTTCACAATGACAACCACTGACAGACGATCTATTATCGCTGCAGGCCTCTGTAACAAGGCCACCCACAACACTAATGCAAGGTATGGTGATGAGTGACGTTTACTTTCCCCAAAATCAAGGGCACAGGGCACATCGTGATGGTTCTCATATTTGTAAAATGAACTTGACAAGAGCATACAGAGTAGTGGTTGTAAAAAGATGAATAGCATTTGCTACAGCACTTTAGAAGAACATAACACGGATGTGGACACATATGGTTGGTGAGTGCTCCCTTGCATTTGTGCAGGTTATGCCAATTTCAGGATGTTATTGCCATTTTATGTTTCTACATTGGCCCTTTTATGGAATTCAGGTCATGCAGTGCTGAGGTGCAAGTGTATTGCTAATCATGTTAACAGTAATGCTGCTGTGCAATATTTATGGAATCAGACAATTCAGTAACATGGTTTTACATGATATAATATGCATACTGTATTTCTGTGGCATGCAGAACCCAGAATCCTTGTCTATCTATCTGTGCATCAAGTCAAAATATCGACATGAATACCAAACAGAATGTTGGCCTTAAACTGGATTTCACAGATCAAACCACTGACCATAAATCATGACACTGATCTTTCTATCATTCAATCAAACTACATGAAATGCATTAACCAGATCAAGGACTTGTTGTAAACTTTGCTGATCTGCTTAATAAAGTTTGCTGGTATTTGTTTATATTACTTTCTAGTGTACAACCTTATCTCTTGATCTATAAAGCTTCTGTTTTTATCTAACTACCAAACAACCACTAATCTGATTTGTCAGACTTCAGTCACGTTCCTGTGCTACACGACGTCATCTTATATGAACTGGAGGAGGAGAAATTGAAAATAAAAGTAAGCCTCAATAGACACAAGGCACGTTAGTCATAGACACATTATATGAATATAATGGGTCCAGCACCTCGTCTTTAAAAAACGCAAATGTGATGATGATGGTAGATGGCTTTGAGGGGGAGGAATAATTTTATACCACACTTCCTGCCTTGATCAAAACGCATTCATTCCTTTACTGCTGGAGCCACGGATAAAAACTAGCACACTTACATGTCCCAATCCAACAGGCACACATTTGGGTTTAAAACTAGTCTACTGCCGTGGTTGGACATGTTTTTCTGACTGCTAATGGCTACATGTCAACACCAGCATCTTTTGATCCAACTTTATGACTCACAGCTAACAGCTTGCTAGCGTAACTATACTACCACCGCTAGCAGGCTTGTTGATTGAAGGAGCTTGATTTTGACACGAAAACCAGCGGATTCGCCTATTAATCAAAGTCTCTTATCTTAGGTAAGATAAGTGGGCGCCACCATGCCTTTGTGACAATGTTGCAAAGATAACAATAGCAGTGCTAAGTGATTTCCATTCACGTTAACGCTATACCGTTAGGTTAGCTAGCATTAGCATATCGTGAGCTACAGTTGGCTTCGTAGCTTAAGTAAGCTTAAGTTTTACAGCTTGAAAGCGCAAACGCCGTCTCACTTTTAAACACATGTGCACAACCCATAAACTGAAGTGCTCAGAAGCTAGCTAGTTAAAGTGAACACACGAGGAACTGTAAGATAACAGCAGCTGTCACACAGTGCCGTGCCGCTGTCAACGCCGGTAGGCCACAGCAGCTCTTAAGCAATCCCACCCTTCCCTCGTGTGTCTGACACGCTGAGACAAGATGAAAAGTTTTCATTAGTGTCAAACCACTGTAAAAACCGCCCTGCCTAGCCGAATCCGCCATTACAAGCCGCATTTGTTTCACTATGTTCACAAGAGAACAGTTAAGACACAAACATCGCACTTACTACTCCTTGATGAGGACCATCGTAGCTTGTTTCTCTCGATACTACCGTTACTGCCCAGCGACCGCTGATTGCTGCTGACGTCATGAGCTGCTGAGAGGGGCCCCCGGTCCCTCCCCCCGCGAGCGGTGATTTGCGGAGGGAGGCATGGACGGACACGCTAATTACTATTAACCAATAGAATCCCTTTGTAGTCACTTTTACCCGCCTTTTGCACATCTGGTCTGATCAATAAGCACCAGTTCATCTGTCAGTAAATCACATTAAAACCACATCAGTCACCAAGGTGCTACATCATCTCAGATTTGGCCTACTTATGAAGCAGTCCCTGTCGTGATCAAGAGTTTGAGCATGCGCTTTCATTATCTGCTGCACGGCCTGAAGCCCACACGCTAGTTTGACGTGTCCTAACACCTGGTATCTGTCACTGGAAATGTAACTGAGTACATTTACTCAAGTAGAAATTAGAGGTACTTGTACTTTACTTGAGAATTTCTCTTTGATGCAACTTCATATTCCACTACATCTCAGAGGTAAGTATTAGGTACTTTTTACTTTGGCTTTAGTTATTTTATAATTACAATTTTTCATACTATTTCTGCCTAGTGAAAACCATCTCCATATGTAAATGTGTATTTTAAACTGAAGAATGAAGTGTACCTTTATGTGGTGAGAAAATTCTTCCTAATTTAAGCAAAATAAGCTATTTAAAAACCCCTTTGGATCAGGAAAATGCATGGTCACAAGGCTGAAAACAGGCCTGTTTTTCTGACATCATGAGAAGTTGACTTTTTAGAGATAGATGGACAGCAACGCTACACACATTCATGGCATGTATGCATAGCATATATGCATAGCATGGCCTTAAACATTTACAGTGGTAAAATGCAACATACACATGAATGTAGCAGTAATATTAATCTAAAGACACCATATATAATCTTAAAACACTGACTATAATATTTTTACTCTACAATCAGTACTTCTACTTCTATCTATCTATCTATCTGTCTATCTATCTATCTACAACAGAATAATGTACAGTCAGGGATACAAGAAAGCAAACATGATGTTTTTTTATTGAAACAGTTTACTGATAAATGACAGATGGTTGTCATGAAAGGTTCATGTTTAATCTCAAAAAATCATGGGCTAAAAAGTCATACATGGTACTTAACATTGAATAGCAAGAGAATCCATGCTTCAGAGCAGACACTCAATTCACAAAGAAATCAGGCAAAATGCCCTTTTGATTTCAATAAAAAATATTAAATCTTTTTTTCTCCACTCTATCCATCTTTACATGGTACAGGTTTGTTCACTTTTTAATAATATAAAAACGCTTAATACTGATTGTGAAACACTGGAATTAATTTACAAAACATAATAATAATTATTATAATATTAATAACAATAACAAACAATAATAACAATAACCATTCAATTTAAAAACAAAACAAAAAAAATAGAATGGAGGAAATCAGTCATAGCTGTTGCATCTTGGCCCACACCAACAGCAAAGAAAAATACCAAATGGCATTTACATCTACCTGACACACAGTTACACACAAACACAGTATCAGGTCGTTGAGTATTTCTCATTGCCATTTACATTGTTATGGGCACAAAGACAAGACACCCTCTAAAGCATTCATGTGCCTCTGCGGGATCACACTCACTGACCAATCGAATCCTTCTCACTGTAAGTCAAACTTGGTGGACCAATAGTGGTCCTCAACAAAGTGCCCCACACCTCCAGCACACAGGATAGTAAATGATAGATAAAAGTATAGGACCCTTGTAAATGTCTCAGCATTTAGAGGAAGGGAAAAATCTTCCAGGCGACAGGAACTTGTATCCATTGCCAGCAGGTAGTCGGATAGAACGAGCACCAGGGCTACTGCTTGTGGAAATAGTCGGTGATGGGGCCACTTTTCTGGGATTGGAGCAGTGGTGTCCATTGGAAGAGTTCTTGCTGCCCCTATCTAGTGACTGCAGCCCCAGCTCCCGCAGCTCCAGGCTGTCTTGGGTATCGTTAGGGGAGCAATGGCGTGGCGAGAGGTTCAGAAGGCTCAGTACGTCCCTACTGGCAGAAGCAAGGGCTCCAGGAGCGCCGTGGATGGCTCTGACGGGACCTAGATGTTGCTGTTGTTGGGCGGCGGCATTAGCCCAAAAGGTCTTCAGATTGTGGATAGCTTGGACTTTTTCATCAATCACCCCTCTTCTAAGCCGGTCCAAGTCTGGGACATCAGCCGATGTAGAGCAGGCTGAACCTGTGGAGGAGTACGACAGGGCAGGGGAAGGAGCACTACCAGCAGGAGACTGGTGGCCAGAACTGGGAGACACATTACTTGGGGAACGAGAGATGTGGCCGCTGTATGGGGAGCTTGGGTATTTTAATTTGAACTGTGCATGGCTGTCTAGAGTTGGCGAAGGATGGCTGCCCTCCTTTTGGGAAGACTCAGAGATTGCAGGACTATTGTAGCCAGAGCTTATCTTCTGCAGTGAAGAGGAACGGGAGGGAGGTTTGGGTCTTGGGGAGGATTGAGCTCGGCCACTAGCACTGCTGTTAGGACGGCTGAATGCGCTAGTTTCAGAGGAACGGAAGGCGCTGCTCCGGGTTGAGGTTCCTGCAGCTGTCGCACCCTCTGGCCCAGCCCGATGAAGACTACCCACAGCCCGTAGATGGCTCTGAGTCTCCTCCAGGATTTTCTGGGCCAGCTCCTGAGGATCCAAAGGGACAGTTTTTTCTTCCTGAGACTTGACAGTACTGTCTGTCTCAGTGCTGGACTGGTCAGATTCCCCTGTATCTGAGCTGCTCACCTTACCCACCTTCTGGAATGGTGAATTCGGGCTGGGCACTAGGCATGCTTTGACAGGAGATGTAGGTGTGCTAACACTGCCCCTTGATGATACTGATACAGTGTAGCCTCTCCCTGCCCCTGTGCCGGACCCGCCAACCACCCCCCTGCCTCCACGGTGGTGGCGCTGGCTGTGGCCTGGTGGTAGAGGCAGAGAGTCACAGTGGCTTCCCAGAGGCTCACTGCTGATAATGGAAAAGCCCTCATATTCCTCATCGTCCCCCCGGGCTCCTGCAACTGCAGCAGCAGCAGCTGCCCCATGAGGAGAGGAGCGACTGCGGGGAACATGAGGGTGTTTGTGGATAGAGTAGTGTGCAGTGGCCCCACTGCGTTGCCGATGACTAAGGAAATCACACTCTGACTTGGAAGCAAAGCTCATGGAGGAGGCTACAGAGCTGAGACTATAGACAGAGATGGCATCTGATGCCTGATTGTCCAGGCAAGGAGGAGAGAAAGGAAGGCTTGAGTATCCCATGGGCAGGGGGTTGGACACAGACTGGGCTGAAGCTAGAGACTCAAGGGAAGATGAGCTGTCCAGGCTCAGACGCTTGGGCAGTTCTGTGGAGTCTGAACAAAGAGAGGAAGAGAACAGGAAACAATGTCACACTTAATAAAAACAACAGGATTGCTACAAAGGTGAATGAACATTCTGGATGATTTCAATGTGCAGTCAAGAACAGAAATGATACAATGAACATCGAGTATATAAGTTTACGTACCAAACAGCGCCAGCAGAGCCTGGAGAGCAAAGTGCAAGGTGCGGCGGTTGGCTAGCTTACCAGTCTTCAGCACCACTTCCTCTTGGCCTACCTCACACAAGTCAAATCCTGCACAAATAAAAGCAACAGCTGTAACTCAAACATTTGACAATGTGTCTAAGAGTACACAGGGACACATGGATGCATGGTGGGTGGGATGTTGGAGGGGACAGGAATCAATAGTTTTCTTAGGAAACAGGTGACTCACCAAGAGCAGCCAGAAATTCATGGCATCCTGGCAGCCTCCATAGCTGTACACTGATGGACACTTGAATGGGCAGGAGGGAGAAATCCTGTTCTTTCTCTCCTGTCTGGAGTTGAACTAGCACCTGGTGGAGCTGGAGAAGAACAGGGAGAAGACAAATGGCACAAGAGGCACGGAGTGGTTAGGAATGAGTGCAAGACTATAATAAACTGGTGAAATCTACTGCAGATTTGATTAATGGGTACAATTAATTTGTGTGATCAAACCATTTCTATTCTATCAAGACTTTAAATCATCCAACGGCAACATTATACAGTTCCTTACTCTCAATTAATATTGCCTTTTCATCTATTAAACCTAATGGCAGCCACATCTTATTGTGCCACTGCTGTACACATATATTCTGGAGAAGGTATGAATCTGTTTCTCCATGTTTCAATACTATGCTGGAGTACTCAGGGCAAAAGAACCTGATTCAGAGCTTAAAGGGTGTCAGCTTTACGGGGTTTACATGTGCCCTGAGAGCACACTTGCCTGGTTTGTTAGGCGATTACATGGCTTCTGACAGAGACACCTTTGTCAACATGATGTAACTGTGCAGAAAGTAGAAACATGCCTCATTTGCTCACTTCACTCTTTGTAATTATGAGAGGTTTGTTTTTACATCATAGCTTTATCCCTTCTACCACCCTGAAAGTTCCCTCTGACCTGTAATGAACCAGGGTTGTAAATCTTTTAATACCAAAAATCCCTAAGATCTGACTACAGGAACTAGCAGTGAAGAAAGAAACAGTAAATGTTTGCTTGGCTACACTTTATGCATGCAAATGCTAAACAATATGAAAAACAACAAAACTGATCATTAGATTGTCATGCAGCTTCTACACAAAAAGGTGTTGGTTTATTAATTAAGAAAGTGTAGCAGGACAGATAGAGAAGAGAGGAGGAGAAGGGTAGAATGGGATGGAGTGCAGGCATGTGAAGGCACACTTACCATTGCCACCATATTTTTAACAGCCTTCAGACCGCACGTTAGGGGCAGGGGAGAGAGAATAGGCTTTTAATTGCATGCACACAGGCCATTCACAAAGGGTACAAGGGTTCAGGTCAACAAGAAGGATAACAGCAACAAGTAACAGAGGTGTTTAATAGTTTGATGCAATCAGCATACACAGATTAGATCCAGTGTGTTTCATGTTCTGTGCATTTGCAGTATGAGGCAACAAAAACAGCTTATCACCAATTAAC